GAATTTTTAGAATACTGCCCATGAGGTTTTGTAAATGAGGCCCTTACGCCAAAACCCAGTCACCTTGCTGAGTAAATGAGGAAGAAAGGACGAAGTGTCGAGGATCCATTTTATTAGGCACAGTAAATCAAAGAAAGTGTTAGGGAATGCTTATTTGGGTGTAGTAGTAGGAGAAAGAGTCTGCTTTTAAAGTGAAAAGGCCCGCACTGAGTGGTATTATAGACACGCTCAGTTGAGTCTTGCTTGGCAAAACACGGCTTTCTGCATCACGGTGATCTCAGTCAGTCTCAAGTAGAGGGTAGATGACATTTAGTGAGGAGGCTGTCCCGTGCTGTGGTGTCTCCTAGGATGTGTTTTTTTTTTTTGAAATGTGGTAGAATTTCCACTGGTCCCTGGAAGGGCCCTTGTAGTCAGCTTAACAACCAGGTAAGTATATGATCTGAGGAACTATCTAAATTCCCATAGGTAAAGTGAGTAGTTAACTCCACATGCTAAAAAATTAGGTTTCCCTAGAGACAAAAAAGATTTTTGAGTAGCACTAGAATTGGCACAAAGAGCTGTTGATTTAAATAATCTGGGGCCCCATGCATAAAGAAGAGGCTACCGCTTTGCAGTCGCTGCCATTTTATCTCCATCTGAGATTCCAGATGTAAAATGTGAAAGGGGAAGTTTAAGCCATTTGTCTGAATACACCCCAAGGTGGATGTGGTTGAAATGTTTCAGTTCTCCCTGTCTTAGAGGTTCACCTCTAAAGAGGAACTCAGCATTACCTCCCAGTAGGAGGAATACGCATACATGAAGTGCTTCTCTAAGTAAACACACGTCCCAAATGGCCTTTTTTCTCCTGCATTCTTAACACTGATTTATCACCATTGCAACTGCTTAACATTTTGCAGAGTAGCGTTTCATTCCCCGCCCCCCCTTCCCCCGCCCTCTTCATATTCCCTGTTTGAAAAAGAGCTCTGTATTTTAAATATTTTAGACTCAGCAGCAGTAAATGTTTTCAGGCTTTGGATAACACCACCACTGTTAGGAGAGGAAGAGTTTAAAACAGCTGTGAAGCCAAATTTCAAGAAAAAAATGGAAAAGAAAAAAATAGCAAAGCATCGTTAGGCTGTCACCAAACATCACTCAGAATCAGCCCCGTTTGTGTATGGAAACTCCTGTTTGCAGGGGTTGCCTGAAAAAAAGAAAGCTTAGGATTTTCTAGGAGAAAAAGAAATCATGCTTTTTAGCTAAAGAATAGAAGCATTTAAATTACTTTCTGGGAAGGTTTATAGGGAAAATAAGTAACTTGAAAAAGAATAGTGCATCTATTATGGAGCTGTTACTAAGATTTCAAAACGCCAAGAAAGACTGAAGAACCTATTTTAGGCAGTGATTGTCATCTAGTGGACGTTCACTTTTAACCCAGGATTTGTTATATTTTAAACTGAAGTCAAGGAAAAAAGAAAGGTTCCTTTGCCATATGTTGGGGAGGAAACATTTTCCTCTGCCCCACAAAGGTTCTCTGGCTGGTCTAATAATCAAATCAACATAAGACAAATTCACAGAAAAAAAACACACACAAATTTAATTTCACACGTATGAAAAAAACCCCACACATGAGAGGTTCAAAGACGGAAAGATAAAATGAGGTATATATGCCACCATGAGCTGAAGAATGGGATGGGAGCCTGGAGCTTTGAAGGGGAGGAGAGTAATTCACTGGATGATAAGAAGAGCAGATGTTGAGTAATTAGACGTTTGCCCTGCCATACAGATAAATCATAAAAATTTATTTCTGATAATAACTCTTATTATGGGCAAGGCCTGCAATCTAAATTCTTTAAGGAAGAGGTAAAAGCATCTTTTGAGCCTGCAGGGTCTCACCTGACTTTAGCTCAAGATAATCCACATGCCAAAGTGGCACATCCTGGGGAGGCCTGTTCTGAGCCCCTCCTATATGTCAGATAAATCAGCCTGTCTTTCCCAAACCCCGTGCTGGTAAATGCTGTGCTTCCCTAATTCAACCATTAAAAGTTTGGAGAGTGGAGATGAAGAATGAGGCACGATCTCCTGCCCTTGGGTCATTTTCCCCATAAACGCAAAGTCCTCACCTCCGTTTTCCTGGTTCTTTGAAAGTAGACAATTAAGAAAATGTTTGGCCGCAGTACCTGGTAGGAAATCACTCGAGCTGAACTTGTCCCCCTCTAAATCTACTTAGGATGATAGAGTGCTGATTTGTGCAGCTAATTACTGAAGGCTAATTATGCTGCCTTGAAATCAACGTGGCACAACAAAATATGCACCACCTTCCCAGGGATGGGGCCGTCAGTCACTGGCCTCCTTCTTACCTTTTTGGTGACTTTATTTCCAGTCTTATTCAAAAGTGAGCTTTGTCATGGACTCAAGAGTTATCCCCTTTAGGCATCTGAGCTTTTTAGTGCATGCCTGAACTATTGGGTTGTCGGAAAAGTCATGACGTATTTTTTTCTATGTTTTTCATCGCAAAAATGCATCATGACTTTTCCGACAACCCAATAGCTTTATGAAGTCGTAGGTAGTGAAGTTGGGCTTCACACGTGGAAATGACTAATTTATTAGTGTTCTTTGAAGTGGAAAATAGGTATGTAGATAAAGAGAAACCCATAGATGCATCCTACAAAGTCTTTAAAAAGCACTTTTGAAAATGTTCCACACCATGGGTTACTAATAAATGTAAAAGCTATATTCCTGGGATAGGGGAGTACTCTTTTATCTCAGAAAATGAACTGGCTGAAGAGGTAAAAATAAAATGCTCAGAATATATGTGATTTTTTCTTGCGTAGAAAAACAAAACTAGTAGGGGGAAAAAATCAGGTTTCTTGGGGTTAGTGTTATGACGGTTAACGTTTAACATGACATTGATGGTTTTCACTGTCAGGTTCACTCCTAAATGTTTTGATTCAGCAGGTCTGATACATGACCCAGGAATCTGTGCTTTAAATTCCTGACTGACAGTCTTACAATTATGGCTAATTTGCTCTAACCCATGCATTCTTCTGAAAACTTTATATTAGCCCTATTATTCCTTATAACAATCCCAGGAAACACAACTATGTCCCTTTTACAGATTAAGAAACAGAGGCACAAAGCAGTTAAATTATTTCTCCAAAATCACACGTTGAGTGGCACAGCTACAAGTATATATATCAAAAGAGTTTTCAGTGATGACCTAGGAGAAGAAACTAGAAATCATTGCTGTTTGCTGAAAATGCTGCTTCTGTTTGCAGCTCCTCTTGAAAGGCCATACATATAATGACTTCTGTTGGACGTAGAGGTTCAGTTACTGCCTGACTTGGTTTTATACCAGTTTAAGAAAATATTTGTTAGCGTTCATTGACTTTTTACTTTATTGCCCTATTAGGAATCTGTAGCCCTGTTGGTAAGAAGGCATTAACGATATGAAAGAACAAAATAGCAACATATCACTGGGTTTTCCTCTTCTCTGTTGCTAGCCAGGGATCTGGTCCCCTTTCCTTTTCTGCTTTGGGGTGTGTGTGTGTGTGTGTGTGTGTGTGTGTGTGTGCGCACGCGCGCGCGCTTCAAAAAGATTCAAGCAACCCTGTGGACTTATGGAGACTTCACAGACAGAATCAATGGAGTAAGGAAGGAAAGTGTGAATTCATTGTCAAAAGAGCTCCTAAAGAAGAAGAAATGACAGAATCAGATATTTAACGTATTGGACCAAATGCTGGGGGAAGCTGAGATGAAGGCTGAACAGAGCTGTCCTGATTTTCTAACGAGCATCTTATCATCTCCCAGGGATGGCAGCATGTGAGGGTCTGGAGACTGAAGGTAGAGCCACAGTATTATAATGCATTCTTTCAGATTGACTTCACTGGAGCAAAATCAAGTTTGCATCAAATCCTGCTAGGTATTAGCTCTGAGTTAACAGAAAGGGCAGAAACTGGCTACAGGGTTTCCATTGATCAATGAATTTGTATTGCTGTGTAATTAATGCTCTTGATTGTCAGCTGCTACATAGGTGTTTCGTATGTGTGTCTTTCATTGTCAGTAAGATCAGAAGCTTACAAGGGACAGAGGCCGTGGCCTTTGGTATTCTCTGTGCTCTTTGACACTTGGCAAAGGCCTAGGCATTGAGGATTGAGCTGAATGTAACTGGTGATATTAAGCCAATGCCTGTCTTTGTGATTCACTTAGAGATGCATCTGATTTTATGTTATTCAATTTAAGGTTTCAACTTTCTTCATTCGATTGCCCAAGGTGGGCGAGAGAAAATGCAGCCTGTATAATATATCAATATTGATGGTATCATCGTATACATATATACTTTCACAAAAGCAAGTCTTATCCTCAGCTACACTTTAGAACCATCACTGTGCCTATATTAAATGGGTTAGTACCTAAAAATAATGAGTACCCTTTGAAGGCATTTCTCATTAAAATGAAGAAATAAAAATGTAAGGCTGATCTGAGCACAAAAAAAGTTTGCATCATAATGTTTTCCATGGAGATCCCAAATTCCATGAAGCACCATAAATACTTTGCAATCTAATGCCTATTAGTTGAAGAAAACATGGGCATTGACGGGTATTTATAACAAGAAAAAAGTACCTGTCCCTCTAACACATTTGTCCATGTCCCAAGGTAATAAACAATCCTTGAATAGTTTAGCACGGTTATATGTTTGCAAAGCATAGCAGATTTATTCCAACGTTTTCCCACTTGGAAAAACTGGGTTTAAGCATCTCCCGCAAACGAAAAGGAACATTGCGTTCTTCCCAGTACGTCATGTCACTTTTATAGCAATCACATACTTGCAGGAATGAGACTGTGCGGTGGTGGCGGCAACTGTAAAGGTTCTGATGGAGAAATTGCAGATGAAGAGCTGGGTTCTTTGGAAGGACCTGGAGAGGAGCAGAAAGGCGCCCGGAGAAGAAGCTGTCATGTTTGCTCAGAAGAACCGCCAAATCAGAGAGCAGAGGAGATCTCATTGGAGGAGCGCCTTCAACGGCAGCTAATCCTGTCATATTGCAAGAAAATTGTAAATGTTGTCTCCAGAAATTGTCCTCCCATTGCAGTTAATCGAACATACACACGAATACAGACCCACTCGCCTGCTGTACCAAAGGCGCCGGGTGCAGAGACCCGCTCCAGCGAGCGCACGCGCGCGCACACACACACGCACACACACACAACACACACACACACACGCACACACACACACGCGCACACACACGCACACACACGCACACACGCCAGCCTGCGGGTTGGCCAGAGCCTTGAAACCGCAGATCCCACTAGATATAGCCACAGGCACCGAAGGAGGTGTTGCTTCTACACTATTTACTACTTTCCCAAGCACTTGGGTGAAGAAATGCATTCCACCCAGCTCTCCAGTTCATCCAGATCTCTTGTTTTGTTTTGCTCTCCAGAGTCGTCGTCTTCGTGAAAGCCAGGTTTGAGAAAGCCCTTTTTGCTTCGTGGGTGGTTTGGTGTGGAGGGCGGGGGCAGCGTCGGTTTCACTTCAGTCTAAACCGCGAAGGGGGTTCCTGACTCGTCAAGTAGCTGGGACCCGTGTGAGATGTGCGGCTCTGCTCGCGGGCTGGGCTGGAGCGCGCGCCGCAGCCCCACGGCTCTCTCTCGCCGGCGCCTTTGGGTCCGCTCCCTCCCCGCCTCCCCCGCCCCACCCCTCCGGGCGTCTCGGCACCAACACATCTTTTTCCTTTTCTCGTGCAAGATCAAGGGAGAGAGCGAGCTGGCGGCTGGCCTCGGGTTTTGAGCGGTGCGCAGCTTGCGCCGGGGCAGGTCAGCCCCGAACCCGCGAAGGGCCCCTCGCTCCTGCCAGCCTGCACCAAGGAAATCGCAGCCCCGAGAGGCGGCTGGAGCCAAACCAGCGGCAGGTAAGGGGTACCGCGCTGCCCAGCTCGCGGCTTGCAGGCGCCAGGGGTCCTGGTACCTTGGGGGGGTCTCTCCAAATCTCCAGAACGGGGCGGGGAGGGGTGGGGGATTGGGAAATTGGAGAACGGTCCTCCACAAGTGCACATTCTCAAACGGGAACTTCGGCTCCCGGGGCTTGGATGGCTGAGAGCACGATGGAGGGTCTGGCAGGAAGGGGCAAATGAGGCACCGCGCGGGGCAGGGGTGCGATTCCGCGGGTCACTGAGTCCCGCGGAAGGTGGAAGGCAGCCTGCGAGTTCCGCTGGCCGGAGCGTCGCTCCCGCTTCCAGCCCGCCACCCCTGCACTGTCATCCGACCCCCTTCCACCTCCTCCCCAAGAAACTGTCACGAAAAAGACAAAAAGAGCTTCGCCTTCTATTACCCCTCAGGCTCCCTTACCGCCTGGAGTCAGGCCACCTCTTCCAGGCATTTGGGGTGGAGGCCCGGCTCGCCCGGTCTCAGCAAGGCACCCCGGTTTCACCGTTTCGTGCTGCGGTCCGTGGAGCATGGCCAAGGGGCAGGGGAGATAAGGATGCGTTAAGGATCCCGGGACAGATGAGGGGGAGCCTTCTGCCTCCCCAGCCCACTTCAGCGCCTCACATGAGGTGGGCTGTCCGGCCTCGGCTTGGGGACAGCGTCTCAGCCCGGAGTCGGCAAGGTCCCAGACCTGGCCTGGGCTTCGCCAGCAACCCACCTCAGGATGTGCCCTGGGCCACCCCTGGCGGGGCTCGGGGTTCTAGATAGAGGCCGCTGCATTCCCGGTGCCCCTGGTGGTCCAACTGCGGACCTGGGCGATCGCTGATGAACTTGGAGCTCTCAGAGCCCGCGCAGGGTAGGTCGCGCAGAAATCGCACCTGTGCATTCTGCCGGGAACCCCTGGGGTGCCCCCCGCGGGGTAGTAAGAGGCTCGCCTAGGGGAGCTCTCAGGTGGTGAAGAGTCCCCCGAATTCACCCAGAGAGCGGCACACGCACCCTGCCTTGTTCCCCCTCCAGCGCCCGCATCTCTTTCTTGACCCTCCTGCTCGCCTCCGTCCTGGAGGCTGCCTTGAGCCACCAAATCGTCCGAGGGAGGGTCCGTCGAGCTCCCCAGTCCCAGGTCATGAGACCAGGGCTGTTGCCTGTATGGAAATATCACCTCGGTGGGAAGAGACGGGCGGAGAGCAGAGAGATAGAGGCAAACGCCTAAGGCAAGCAGAGCTGCGTGCGAACCTCCCACCCCAGCCGCCCTCCAGGTATCCTCATGTCAGTTCTCGGGCCCGGTGCGTCTGTGACTAAGGTCACCATGGGTTACATGGCTGCCAGCCCGGGTGCGGCCAGCCCATCCAAAGAATGGCGCTTCCCAGCCCTTCAAGCTTCAGAATCCCCCACGTTGACTTTCTATTTCCCTTTCCTCTCTCTTCTTTTTTTGGTTTGTTTTGCTTTTCTTGCTCTTTTTCTTAGCGCTGGGTGGCAGTGGGTAGGTGGCAGCCAGCCATGTGGTGTGTCCGTCCCCTTGTACACGCAGCCAGTAACACAAACACACGTCCCCACGCTCCGCTGCACACCGCTGCGCTCCGGCACGCAGCCCTGGCTCGACGACCCCGCGCGCCTGCGGACTCGGCCACCGCCACGGTCAAGGCTTCGGTCACCATCACGATCTCTGTCATGGCCTAGGCTCCTTAGAGGACCGGGCCAGAGGTGAACCGGGCAGCCCTGACTCCAGAGAGAAAGGGGCAACGGGAAAGACCCACGGAAAAGCTAGAATTGGGGTTGGGGCTGTGGTGGGGGTTGCCTCTGGGAGGAATTGGTCCTGGCGGCTCTGTGTCCCGAGGTGCGGAGCCTCGAGGGACCTGGAGAGGCTATGGTGCCCTGCCCTCCAAGCCCCTTCTGCCTCAGGCCAAAGCCCCCCCCCCCCCGCGGGGTGGGGGCTGGGAGCCTCTCTCACAGGCCCAGGGAAGTCCGGATGGCCCTGTCCTGGGGTGGACCAGCACCGCGCTTCATTTAGCCCAGGGCTTTGAGAGGGCTCTGAAAGCGAGCTAACTCAAACTCCTGAGGCTCACCCTGGCAAGGGCTTCGCATTGTATTTCGTTGGCAATCTGTGTATATGTATATGCTGTATTGAAAAGCATATGGCAGGGAGATAAAGTACATTTTCATTGATAAGCACAGAATAGAGATGATTCACTTTAGAAACTACAAACAAGCGTGTGTGTGGGTGTGTGTGTGGGAGTGTGTGTGTGATCTTTAGGGTGATGACAAGGGAACTGGTAATCATAGAAGTAAACCAGTTCTTTTGGCCAAGAGCTTCACACTGGGAACTGTATTAGGCTGCAATTCAGGAAGTGGGCTTTTGGGACTCTTGTCAAATGGATGAAAGAATTTGGTGCCAATGATGTTGCAGCTTTGCAGGATTTGGCAGCTGAGGACTCATGAAGCAATAAGTTAATGCCAGGTGATTTTCTTTTTTTTTTTATTGTTACTACTATTATTAGTAATGTGTTCTGGTAATTAGTAATGTGACAGTACAATAGATAAGCAAAGTCTCTTGACTCTATATGCTTTACTGGGCTAAACAGTTATGCCAATTAAAACTGAAAAATAAAAACTTGACCTTAAATAGGCATGAAAATTGCAGGAAGGTTCACTTAATGGTTTAAAACTGAATAGATGGGAGTGGGGAAGAGTCTTGGGACCCAAAATTCAGGGTGCACCCACCTCCTGACAGATGCTTGGTTTTCCTACAAAGGAAATAAGCCTGTTTGTTTATGTAGGTGTGCCTGAGGGTGTTTGGAGGGGGTCAGGGTGAGAAAGGAGGTAGATTTGAATATCCTTATCATAGTTCAAGTTCAAGAGAACCCAAAGAGCGTATTTGCAGTTCTCAGCTGTGTCTTCCAGGGTAGAGTGGGGAGAAACAGTCAAACATAGGTGAAAGACCCTTTGAAATGGTCCCCACAGCCTCTCAACTTTGGGGGCAGAGATTACTATCTTCACAAGGCCAGGCAGCTGGACGCATATTCAGTGAGATTTTTCCAATTCCACTTCAGGGCGGCCAGACCCCAGGTTCAAGGGCACAGAAGGGAGGGGCAGCTTCAGAGGTAGGAAGAAAACAGCGTCCTGTCTAGCCTGCTGACTGGGGGGGGGGGGGGGGGGGGAGGAGGATAGCTGGGCTTATCAGGAGGCACATATCTCTGACCCACACCCAGCAAGAAACAAACTTTAAGCAGGCGCAAAACATGAAGAGGAGGGAACAGCAGAATAAAGGGAAATGAAGAGGGAATGGGAGAAAGAAAAAAAAAACCCTGAGGGTAGGAATCTGTGGGTGCTATTAACAGGCTCCACAAGTGCTGCGTTCAACCTCCATCACCGATGTCAGCCCTTGTTTAGAGTACGCCTGAGGGAAAATGCCTATCATAATTGTCTAAACTTGACCACTCAAGCCCCACTTGTTTTTTCTTTAACATTTTTTATATTAAATTATAGCTAACATACAATATTATTATGTTAGTGTCAGGTGTGCACCACGGTTATTCTACTTTTATATGTCTAAAGACGTGATCACCATGATAAGTCCAGCAACCATCTGACACTGCACAACGTTAGTACCCCACTCTTAATCTTATTTTAGCCTTTCTTCCTTTTGGTTACCTGGTTCCCCTGAAGGACTGGTTTTCTTCATTTAAACATATTTGAAGTGGTTGGGCATTTTATGATGTGGGCTCGCGTCGTGCTTTTCCTCGGTGGACTCCTATATATCAAACACTGTCAATATCTTCCTTGTGACCTAACACCTGTCTGTCAGTCCCTATCACCTGTCCCCACTTTTCTACCTTTGGTTCATTGAGCAGGTGGGGACTGCTTTGATTAAAGGGTATCAGAACAAGGGTACTGACTGCTGGGTCACCCGGTGGTGGAGGTGGTGGTAATTTTAATATTGTGTGCTATGTGTGGGGCAAAGGAAACAGGTCATTTTTCATTAGAAATGCATTTTCAAAGAGTGTGTTCTAAGTCCCTGGCGCTGTCCTAAGCTCCTTATATGTATTTTATCATCGGTTCTGTCAGTGCTTTATCCCCACTGTGTAAGGTGGTATCTGGCACATTCTAGGAGGTTATTAAGGATTTGTTGACTGCGTGAATAGGTGAATCAATTTTATCATTGCAGCACTCCTATGAAGTAGATGTTATTTTCTCTGGTTTAACAGTGAGGAAACCAGAGTTCAGAGGGACAAGTAATGGCCCGAGGTCACCTAGCTAGTCAGTTGCAGCCCCTGGATTCAGATGCAAGCCTTTTGGACTCTAGTCTGCCTTGTGCTGTGCTGATTGGCTCTCTGTGGATGGTAGCACTCGTCTGCCCTGCGTTTGGGGCAAACTGTGGTATTCAGAGGTCAACGGCATTCTCTCCATCCTTTTAATCAACTCTGCATATTCTTGTTGGATCTCCTAGAACCTGAGCAAGGACGATACAGTGCCAACTAGGCTCTTAGTTGGCACCACATACTGGTTCTGATTAATCAGTGATTGCTTCTGGCAGAGGGAAACAAAAGGGCACCGAAATTACCTGATGTCTTGGCAGACGCTGTTTCCACCTATAGCTATACTGAGATTTTCTTTGGTGCAAAAGGATGAAAGCATCCTTTTGATACCTTCCAGTGGAACTCGTCACAAGTGTTCAAGTGGAGGAAGAGGCCTCCCCAGCGAGATGTCCCTAACCGAGAACCGCACACATCCCGGCGTCCAGTCTAGTCACCTCTTGCTTCTGCAACGCTGAAATCTTTATCCAGATTGCTGGTGCTTAAGGCTCTGCATTTCAGTGGCAACTTTTCATTTTAGTTAGAATTTATTATCCACCTTTGCTTTGAAAGGCATAATGCGACTCGGGGAAACTGCTACTAGCAAAAAAGGGTGAGGTAGATTCTTACTGGTTTGCTTCCTTCCACACTTTATGTATTTCTTGTCTTAACTTTATTTCGTTTCCCTTCTTCCCACC